AGAGAGAGTAATGTTCGAAACTCTCATTCTCTAAACCCTCATTGCCACACTCTCAAGGACTGTTTTTCTTCTGACCAGCTTGTCCAACCTTTTCTGTTCATACCACATTCTCTCTGGTAAAGAGAAAATATCCCTTGCTGATGGGTCTCTTGCTCCCATTTCTAGCAAAGGGGATATAAAGACCTCTGACACCCTTTATTTATTGTCTGTCCTTTATGTCCCTAAACTTAATACAAATCTTTTATCTGTTAGCAGCTTAACTAAATCCATGAACTGTAGCACAACCTTCTTTCCCACTCATTGTGTTTTTCAGGACCTACAGTCTCAGAGGATAACTGGGAGTGGCCATGAGGCAAATGGAATATACTTGCTAGACACACCTGATAGAGCTCTTGGACCACCTTATGGAGTTGCCTTGGAGTCAATCTTGTCAAAGTTTGTTGACAAAGTCATGTTATGTCACTTTCGGTTTGGTCATTTGTCTTTTTCTGCTGAGTCATTTATTGCTAGATATGTTTAAGGGAGTGGCTTTATCAAGTCTTCATTGTGAGTCATGTGAACTGGCAAAGCATTGTAGACAATCTTATTCAGTAAGCAATAAAAGATTTATTTCTCCTTTCCATATTGTTCACTCTGATGTGTGGGGGCCATATCATTTGCCTACTATGGGGGGTTATAGGTACTTTATCCTTTTTATTGATGAATACTCTCAGTACACTTGGATTTATCTCATGAAATCCAGGGATGAAGTACCAACTATTGTGCAAAAATTTCATGAGCTCATTCTTACCTAGTTTAACACCCGAGTCAAAATATTCCGCTCTGATAATGCTAAGGAGTATTTTGAGAAAACCCTCTCAGCCTATCTTGAAACTTTTGGGGTTATTCATCAATGTTCTTATTCCTACACTTCACAACAGAATGGAGTGGCAAAAAGGAAGAACCGGCACGTGGTTAAAGTTGCCAGATCCCTCCTTTTTGCATCCCATGCTCCTATAAAAATTTTGGGGAGATGCTGTCCTTACTGCTACCTTTTTTATTAACTGTATGCCTTCCCGGGTTCTTGGCTTCAAAACTCCCTTTAGCCTTCTCTTTTTGGATGAGGATCTCTTCTCTCTTCCTCTCCGTGTTTTTGGGTGCACTTGCTATGTGCATGTTCACAGCCATCAAAGGCACAAATTTGAACCTAAGGCTCGTAAATGTGTTTTTTTGGGATATGCCTCCACACAGAAGGGATATTGCTGTTTTGATCCGGTTAGTGGCACCTCCTTTGTATCTCGGGATGTCACATTTGTTGAGTCTACTCCTTTCTTTAGTATTCCTCCTGAGGGGGAGAAATCTAAGGAACCCTTTGCTATCTCCCCAACAGTTCCTCTTCCTGTTCCTTTTGAGTCATCTCATGAGGTGTCCACTTCTCCCATTGGGACTACCTCTAATATTCCCAATCCTCCTCCTCCACCACATCCTCCTGTAATTCCTCCTTATCTTGTTCTCCAAAGGTGGTATCAAAGGCACAAATTCAGACATGGGCAAGTTGTTTCCACTCCTACAGAAGAGCCTCTTGCTCCTCCCATCATTACTGAGGTAACAGGTCAGCCTTCCTCTGACCCATCTACTTCTTTCCCAGACCTTGATCTTTCTATTGCTCTCCGCAAGGGCAAGCGGAAGTGTACAGCCCATTGTATCTCCAAACACCTGTCTTGTAGCCTTCTATCTCCTACCCCCTACTCTTTTCTTGCTTCTGTTTATTCCCATGTGATACCCATGTCTGTACCAGAAGCCTTATCTAAACCTGAATGGAGGGATGCTATGATGGCTGAATTGGATGCTTTGCATAAGAACCATACCTGGGATATTGTTGACTTGCCTAAAGGGAATGAACCAATAGGTTGTAAATGGGTATTTACCATTAAATATCACTATGATGGTTCTATTTGAGAGATTTAAGGCCAGGTTGGTTGCTAAAGGCTACACTCAGATGTATGGTATTGACTATCTTGATACATTTGCTCCTATGGCTAAGATGACCTCAGTCCGAGTTTTGTTTTCTCTAGTTGCTACTTTTGATTGGCCTCTCCACCAGTTTGATGTTAAAAATGCCTTCTTGAATGGAGATCTACGTGAAGAGGTATATATGTCTTTGCCTCCAGGGATGTATGGAAAGGAAATGTAGGGGAAGGTGTGTAAACTGTAGAAATCCATTTATGGTCTCAAACAGTCTCATCGGGCTTGGTTTGAGAGGTTCAGGACTGCTCTTGTCTCCTTTGGTTACACACAAACTCAATTTGATCATACCCTGTTCTTGAAAAGAAGTGGCTCTCTGGTGACCTTTTTGATAGTCTAAGGATGGTATCTTCATTTCTCAGCGCAAATATGTCCTTGACCTTCTTGTTGAGATTGGTAAACTTGGTGCTAAACTAGCCTCCACTCCTATTGATCCCAATCATAAGCTTTCTGTTACAGATGGTGAACTTTTATCTGATAGGGGAGTGTTTCAGAGACTGCTTGGGAAGTTGTTATATCTTTGCATGACTCGGCCAGACATTTTCTATGCAATGAGTGTTATTAGTCAATTTTTGCATTGTCCTAGAGATACTCATTTAGTTGCTGCAGAAAGAGTTTTGTGTTACTTGAAAGGTACTCCAGGGAAAGGTATTCTATTTGCCAAACATGGACACATGAAGCTGGAAGCATACACTGAAGCTGATTGGGCAGGATGTATTGATGACAAGAGATCCACCTCGGGTTATTGTGCTTTGGTGGCAGGGAACATTGTTTCATGGAGGAGTAAGAAACAGTTTGTGGTTGCCAGATCCTCTGCTGAAGCAGAATGCAGGGCTATGGCACATGGTGTGTCAGAATTACTATGGCTACGGTCCCTTTTAGAAGAAATGGGGGTCGACTATGAGAAGCCAATGATGCTCTACTGTGACAACCAAGCAACTATCAATATTGCACATAATAGTGTTCAACATGATAGAACTAAGCACATTGAGGTTGATAGACATTTTATACGAGAAAGAGTTTCCTTTGGAGAAGCTTGTTTGCCATTCATCATCTCAAAAGAGCAGTTGGCTGATATTTTGACCAAGGGAGTTCCGAGAGGGAAGAAGCTGACACACTATATAAGCAAGCTGGGCATGATTGACATCTAGGCTCAGATTGAGGGGGAATGTAAAGAGACTGGGCCGAATGGTCCCTAACATCTTTTCTTGTAGTGTGTTTTTATTTATTTGTTAGCTAATAGGCCTGTCTTAATGGGCTTGTTATTTCTTTTTCTTAGTTCTCTTTATGTTACTGCCTAGCTGGCCGCCCACTTAAGGGTATACTTGTAATTATCTTAATATTGAAGTTAAGTAAAAGGATTAGAGAAGGGAGGGAAGAGACATTCGAACTCTTCTTCTTCCTCCTCTTTTCTCCATCTTTCTCTTGTACTGCTGTTTCCTTTTTCCTCTCTAATTTTTCCAAGTTAACATCAGTTTTAGAGAACTGTTTCACATCTCTAATGGTTATCAACTCAATGAAATCATCTGAAGTTTGTTTCTTAGAAAAATTCTTGCATGCTTCTCTTCTCAAACTGACCAACCTTCCCCATGCATTTTACCTCTTTTTGAAGGAGAGTCTAAATAAGCTATCAATATCTTGAAGTAGTGCCTGCCTTGCAATGTTGCCTTTTATTTTCTCTTTCATTTCAATGTTGTTGCCTTTATCTATTAGTTACTGGAGCTACAACTTCTGTTCTAAAATTTGATTCTTTTGGAATATCCATTTTTCTAAGCTTAATAATAATTAATGGGAGCCCATTGACCTGAGTATAACTGAGCGAGCACATTGACTATACAAGTGGAAGGTAGATGTTCTTTACAAGGAAATTTTATTCTATTCTACATGACATTTTCCCTTTCATTTTCTCAGGCCTTCTAAACAAGTTCAAAAGTTTAATAAATCTGTATGGAATGTGAATTCATTCATCTCGTCAAGCAGTTTATTGGAGAGTGAACACACAGCAACTATAATGGTATAACCTGGTTCCTTGACTTCATAATTCTGGAAGTGTTTTAAATTTATGGATGTTTGTGCTTCAGTACATTGGACAAGTACCCAACTTCCATGATGTTCAGGTGATGTTGAATTGTTTAAATTTGTCATGAATTCAATGGAAAAACCACATTTGGAATAATTTTCTCTTTTTCTTTCTTTTTTTTTTCCAAAACCTAATCATCACTAGGAAAAATTTTCTCTTTGTATGCTGTAGTCACATGTTGGCTGCTTCTGTTATGAGTTCATTTTGATTTTCCATCCTCAGAGTTATTTTTATATACTCTACATTTCTACTAAAATGATTTTGGGCTTTCTTGTAAAATAATGCGTGAAAAAATTTTCTAATGAATTTAGTCTTTTTTTATTCTTGTCTTCCTCTTATTTGTTTTATCTTCTATGTTCTATTGACAGCGAAACACTTGTGAAAGCAACCTTTCAAATTCTGCTTCTAGTTTTCTATATACTCCTGAGATCTCTGATATTGGAAAGACGGAGACCCTTGTTGAAGGATGGGATCTAGTCGAGCATCCAACATTTCCCCCTCCACCATTGCAAACTGAGGACATTGAACATTGGACTCAGGCTGTGTTCATTGATGCCACAAGGAGATGATAATGCTACAACACCTTGAATTTTGTAAGACCTATGGTCCTTTGGAATACCAACTTTTTATTTTTTTGGAAGATTTGTTTTTCAAAGTATGATGATTCCTCTTTCCTTATGTAGACAACATTATAGCAAATGATTGTCTGCAGTTCTTTTACTTTTTTTCTTAGAACTATCACATGCTAGCAAGACACAGCTTCTATCATAGAGAAAGGAAGCATAATTTCTCTTGAAAAACAACCAAAAGGAGCACAAACAAAAAATGCATGAAGGTGATAGGGAAAATGATTATTTGATTAGATGGGAGGTGGTGAGTCGAAGCAAGGAACAAAGGGGCTTAGGGTTAGCGAACCTAGTAAGCTCTTTTGGGCAAGTGGTTATGGAGGTGGCCTCTGGAAAGAGAGAGATTGTGGCATGAGGTGGTGGCTAGTATCCATGGTTGTCCTGAATCTGGTTGGGATGCTAAGGTATCTCAATGGGCCACACTCACTACACCTTGGAAGGTGATTTTTGGCATCCTCCCAAAATTTCTCAAGTTCATAAGGCATGATGTCTGCAATGGTAATTTTGTGCTGTTTTGGGAAGATGTTTGGGTGGGCAACCCACCATTAAAAGACCTCTATCCCTCCCTTTTTTTCTATTTCCCTCTATAAAAAGGAGCCTGTTTTGAGGTTTCTTTCTCCCCCCGTTCCCCCATTGTCTCTTAATTGGGATTTTGGGTTCTGTAGGGGGTTGAGGGATGAGGAATCGGTTTTTGCCTCTGAGCTCTTACTTTTACTTGATTTTGTTTGTTTGGACCCTCCTAAACCAGATAGAATATTTTGGTCTTTGACCTCGAGTGGCTCCTTCTCTTGTTCTTCCTTCTTTAAGTCCCTTTACTCTACTCCTTCCTCTTTGTTGTTCCCAGTTAAAGAAGTCTGGTTAAGGCCAATTCCACCTAAAATTGCTGGTTTTTGTTGGGAAGTGTATTATGGTAAAGTTAATACTGTGGACAATGTACAAAAAAAGAGACCTTATTCATGCTTGCCCCCCAATTGGTGCATTTTATGTAAAGTGTAGAATGAGGACTGTTATCACCTACTGATTTCTTGCTCTTTTACAGTAAATATTTGGAATTGGGTTTTTATGTTGTTTGGGTACAGGTGGAACTTGCCTCCTGAAGTAAATCTACTTTTTGATCTGTCTTTTCTTGGTTGGCCAACAAAGAGAGGGAAAGTAATGTGGAAATGTATTAGGGCAGCCCTCTTATGGACCATTTGGGAGGAAAGAAATGCCAGAATTTTCCAGGAGGAGAGAAGCATTGTTGAAATAAAGGATTGTATACTAACTAACAAGGGCAATCCTTTGGCTAAAAACTACTGATCTCTTTGTG